GTCTAACTTTCATTTTTTATTTGCTTCCTTTTTCCTATGCAGAAAAAACGTAATGGGTAATCTAAATTCAAATTTAAATAATTTTATAAATACTTAACAGATTTATAGTTTTAATGCAATCCGCTAGGAAATATATATTTTTAGTTCAATATTTCATAAGAACTCAAATTTTACATTGTTTTCAAAGTGACGTGTCATCAAGAATCAAGATCATTGAGGATTACTAAATATAATCATGTTATAAATACTCCATGTAATTTTAATATATATTGATATATGAATTTTCTTAAAAAATAATGTTTGATCTAAACTTTACCATTTATACCTTGTTTTATAGTTTATCAGTTTTTCGCATTTATGAGTTGATCTTAAACTTTTGGAGTGGATTTTTTTCTTTAATTGATTTTGTATTGTTATATTCCAAGAATGATAAGTAATTTCATACTTGATTTTTGATTTTTTTAATATGACTAATAGTTTCATATTTTATTTTTATAATTTTTAAATATAAAGAATCGGACTGGACAGAACCAGAACCGAATGGTTAGGTTCTGATTCGGTCTATAGCTATTGAATCAGTGGTTCTATTTTTAAAATTTTCATTGATATTGATTTGGTTCCCTTCAAAATCAAACCAAACAAGATCACCGTCGCACAAAAGTTTGTCCTTGTCTTTTTGTAGAGGGTTAAAGATAATTTGTTTAGAACTAAAACAAGGAGCATTACTGAGCATGGAAATTCTTATTCCCTATTTGATAGAGAATAAAATCAGTTTTTAAATAGATTTTGATAAAAATATATGAAATATGTGGTTGAAAAATTATGAATCCTATAAAATATGTTATTAAAATTAATTATTGATATTGACTTAAATTAAAATCTAATTTTAGTTCCACCAAACATGGGCTAAATATAGTTTGATCCTAGCCCTCTTGAAAATCAAAACTTCATCAAAATCACAAATTGGTTTGCCTATAGCTGAGAAGTTATCACATATGTTCTTAAACTCTTTTTTGATATACTCTCTCATGGACAATGACCCATTTGTACGAGAATGCTACTTGTACAGATGTATATATAACAGATTGGTTTGCAAATGTTGAGTTGACAACATTTAACACTTTGGTTTAACTTTGTTTTATGTTTGACCAGCAGTTCAGCATCTGTAAACCAATTTGTTAAATACATCTGTACAAATGCATAATTCCTATTGTTATTGCTTAGATGTTGTCCTTTAGTTGCACTTCATTCTCTTTGGTGTCCAGCAGCATCTGTTCTTCAAGAAATTTCCAAATTTTGTATGTTGTATCCACACCTATGATCATTGATCAAATTTTCAAAACTACTATTTAAGCAATCAACTAAATCATTCTAATAATAAAAGTACAATCTAGAAACTAAGTTAAAAGGCAAATAAATAATTAATTAATTGAGTGACCTGTCCAAAAATTTGACAATTAAATGAACAAAAAATGCTATCAACTAAAATTTAAGGGAGTCACACAAATTAGAACAAAACAACACAACTATTAATAAAATATAGCAAGGAATTACCAAAACTAAGAAAATTAAGATAATTTGACCTGAAAATTTAGTGAAAATTCAAGAAAATTATTGGCAAAAGTAAAAGATGTATGTAAGTTTGAATTAAAATTTAGATTTAATTATATATTCAATTCTAATGTCCGATTGATAAATATAATTCAATGATGTTGTTCAATATTTCACCCAATTTGAGGGTTTCACATTCACAATTGTGGTGATTGATTTATTTGAGTATCATTTAATTAATTAATTGGAATAAATAATTTTATGCAGGTATTGAGTTTAATTGGATTGTATCTAATATACATATATCTTTTAACTAGGTTGGATAAAATTTAATTTAATTTATTTTGATTTTTTTTTGGGTAAAAAAATTGACAGTTTAAAATAGTTTCCAAAGATTGAAACTTATACCAAACTACTTCGAAATGGTTTGGATCGGTTCAACATCAAAACGTCGACGATTCCATGTGAACCCAAACAAACAGCTTTACAAAAGCGGTTTTAGTTTGATTTTGTGGCTTGACTGTTCGTTGTTAAGCCTTCAATAGGATGAAATATTTTGTTAGTGTTCAATGACTTCCACATAAATGCTTTGCAAATGATACAGATTAACACTTAGCGGAATCCTTTTTATTAGGTTAGGTCATAATTTTCTTTGGGATGTGATTAATAGAATTCTTGCCTAGATTATGTAATTCCCTTTTAGATTACATTAATCAAATTGAATTAGAAGAATGAAATATAAACAACTATACACAACTATACCCTTATAGATTTAGAGAATTCTTGCTTAGATTTAATGAATCTTTAAAGTCCTTCTAATTGAGATGGCCCAATTGAAATTTTAATAGTTTTTATTAAAATTCATTAAAATTTAGGCATCTTTAATTGAGATTTTAATACAATTCAATGAAATCCTTTGAAATCTACTTATCATCAATAACTCGTGGATTTCTAAAAATTTCATTAACAAAGGAACCCAGCAGAGTGCTTTCGCCGTTGGTGTTCTTTCCGATCTCTACGTATTTCATCACTCCACCGGAAATTCCCTCTGCCCCTACCGTACTCCAGCTTGGTAGTTTCCACCGCCTGTCCAGGGAAAAACTACTTCTACAACTACGAAAAGGAAATTTTTAGATCTCGCGCATCTACTTAAATCGTGGGAATATGATAATCTCTTTCATTGTAAGAATTTTCTATTAATATATAGCATCATTTTACATCAATGGGTAAAAGAGAAGAAGAAATTGAATGGATTTCAAGCTTATATATACACATATCAAACTCCTTTGAAGTTTCACCCTTTTTTATTGAGATTCTTATGAATTATGTGGAATCTATTCAAATTCACGAAATTCATTAAAATTTATAGTCTTTTAAAATTCATTAAAATCTCATTTAAGGACACACCCATAAAGTAGAAAAATTAAATTTAAACAACTATACACAAAATCACAATTATACCCTTTTAGATTTGTAGAAGCCTTCCTCAGATTTTTAGATTACATTATCAAAATTGAATTAGAAGAATGACATTTTACCCTTCTAGATTTATAGAAGTCTTGCTTAGTTTATGTAATACCCTTTTAGATTACATGCGTCAAACTAGATTAGAAGAACGAAATTTAAACAACTATATATACACAATAATTCACATATATCAAATCAAAAAAAGGATATATAGGTTATCAAATTCATGCACCAATTCATTGTTCTATTGAAAGGGTTTCCATAGAGAACTGCAATTGACACAAAAAAAGTAGGAAAAAAATTTGGAAAACATGGCACGTTCCCATCTTTTTTCCCCATATTTTCATTGTCATTGATCATACTCCCACATTTTGCTTATTCAGCCGATCCAAATCTACTTCCTATCAAGGTAACAATAGACAATCAGATGGCATCACCGTTAACCGTCCAATGCCATTACTGGAAGTGGTCGTGCCGAGTGTGCCATAAGTGCAGGAAGCAAGAAAGGGCATTTTTGTTGTGTATGATTTCAATAGGGATATTGAGAATTGAGCAACTGATGATTTATTGTGCTATTGGGAGGTGAGATCAGATGGATTGTATTTGTTTTATTACTGCAAGTACAACTTAATTTATTGTTGGTAATTGTAACTTGTGCAATATAAAATTTTGGCCTGGTTTCACATCTCAAGAGAATCACTTGTCCAAAGGAATCAATGAGCAAGGAAAATAAAAGTGTACCATCAAATTTGATGGATTTTAAATATCCTTCTAAATTTAGGTACTTTTAATTGAAATTTTAATGGATTTTAATAAAATTCATTAAAAGTTAAATGCGTCAAACTGAAATTGTAATGAATTTAAATGAAATCCTTTAAAATTTAAGTCTTTGATTTAATAGAATTTCATTAATAGAAGAATTTTAAAAGATTTGAATGAATTCAAGCTCCCATAACAAAATCATTAGAGATTATTCTAAATTTTGTGAAAATCTATTCAAATCCACGAAAATCATTAAAATTTATAATCTTTTAAAATCCCAAATGCTCTGTTATTTAGTTTTTCAAACACTCTCTATTCAGTTCTTTCAATCGGAGCATAAAATCATATAGATCAGAAATCGTATAGCATATCTCATTGGAGATCCTGAATATTTATTAGACATTAATGAGACGTAGATATAATTAAGTCAAGGATTGATGTAATTCATGAGAGAATAAATCCTTCTATTTTGATGTCACATAATAGCAATTATGGAATGCATTGAAGATACTCTAATTACTTGGGGAATTTCATCGTTTTATTCCATTTGGGTTAGAGGTATTTCTTGATCAACTTAATGGTGAAATGTAAGATTACGTGATTGGGAATGAGTTTCTGTTAATTTTCAATAGGTTAGGGATGTCTGGTGCAAAAAATCAAAGGTAGGGATGAATTTGCTTTTTCTAAAAATGGTTGGGTATGAAGAGTGCAATTTATCCTTAATATAATATTTGTTTCTAATAAAAGATTCATATTTTTAACCCCAACCTTCCTTAGAGGCTGTTTATCAGAGGTTAACCCACCCAAGTCTCAATTAGAGATTGATTATTAGAACAGTAATCTTGATATAGGCTCCAAATATAGTGTTCTATAAACAATTTCTACTTGCTAAGAACAGCATTAACAGACGAATTATGGGTTGCAAAACATGCTCGATTGAAAAACACATGAAACTAAAAAACTGAATAGAATGCTACATCCATGAGATCTTAGGCATCATATGTGTCATGAGATGGTAGATCACTAATCCATCAAGATCGAGGTGCTAGGTCACTCGGAGCATGTCTGAGAAATATTTATAAATTATTTAAATTATAAACAAATAGAAATGAATGATGGATAAGCGAGTGGTACTTGTAGATACTTGAAAATGATTTAAATGTTTATAAACAATTTATAAACATAAGCCAAATAGAGGGCTAACCACTTTTGCGTAATGGTGAACAGAAAAATTAGAGGTGGCATTCTTGCTTTTCTCCATGAAACTCCAATAAAACGTGGTACAATCCAAAATTTAGAGCAACAGAAATACAATAATTACTTGCAAGTTAACAAAACAAAACATAAAGTGACAGTCTACTAAAACTGAAGATAACTTTATACCCTGGAGAGACATTGGACAAACTTAATCAAGGCGCCCCACCAGATCCACCGCCAACACCGCCACCTAAGCCTCCAGCACCTCCAACACCAGCACCTACGCCACCAGCTGCACCTCCAGCACCACCTAAGCCACCAACTCCTCCTAGCCCACTTCCCCCACCAAGTCCTCCGAGGCCTCCAAGCCCACTGCCACCGCCAAGTCCTCCAATGCCTCCGAGCCCACTGCCACCGCCGAGTCCTCCGATCCCTCCTAGCCCACTTCCACCGCCGAGTCCGCCGATCCCTCCTAGCCCACTTCCACCGCCGAGTCCGCCAATCCCTCCTAGCCCACTGCCTCCACCAAGTCCTCCAATCCCTCCAAGCCCACTTCCACCACCAAGTCCGCCAATGCCTCCAAGAGTTGGCATCACCCCAGTATACCCGCCCACACCGGCAAAGCCACCCACGCCGCCGTATGTAAGGAAGTTTTTCTGATCTCCAACAGGTCCAGCTGCATTAATCTCTTTGTTTGCAACACGGTTTAGTGTATTAGTACTAGGTTTTGTTTCAGTTGGAACGTTCCTTGCTGTTGCATGCACAATTACAAGTGAAAACACAAACATTACGTACAAATTTCCCATCTCTCTCTCTCTCTCTCTAAAACAGATAGAATACATAGTGAGGGGATTGAGGGGTTCTATTTATCGGCAAAAACGGTGGAGGACAGTTGAGAAATTGAAGAAGTATAGTAAATTGCTGCATTAAATTTTGCTCAAACAATCTCGAGAATTGCGACTTATGAACAGTACAATTAAGTGAATGAAAAGAAGAGATGAAATAAATTCGAAAATAATAATGTCAACTCAGTAGAAGACAAATGAGTATTCGTGGAACCCATCACGCGTTTCAACAATCAACATCCATGCAATTCTTGCAACGTCAATTTCTCTACAATTGTTACAAATTTACGAGACCAGACACAATAAATGGTGGCACATGAATTGCGCAGGACTTGAAGGATACATGAATAAGGAAGTGGTGGATTCCGCAGTTATTTCGAGTCAAACAAGTACACAAGCTACCGATTTGAGAGAGACGTGGGTGTACTTGAGCGTCATGTGGAAGGTCGTTTTATGGATGAGTTTTGATAGAGGTACACGATTTTTACACCGAATTTGGTACAGATATACACATGTCGAAACATCATTTATGAATGGAAAAAAAAAAGGCGGATAGACAAGCAGGGGCGGATCTAGTATGTGGCCAGCTAGGGCGGCCGCCCTAGCTGGATTCGTCGGAGAGAATTTTTTTTGTTGGTAATAGATAAATATTTTAGGTTATATAATTGGTAGTTTATTTTATTTTCAAACCTCTTTTCTGCTTAGTTGGTTAGAGCTTTCTTTTATATATTGTGAGTCTTGGGTTCGATTCCTTCCACTCCATTTCATTATGTAAAATTTTTATTTTTACAATATTTACCAAAATTAATTTCCTAAGGAAAGGATTCGAACCTATAACTTCTAGAATTA